ATGATTCCGGAAACCGTATTACGTCAAAGCGTAACAAATTAAAACCTGGCAGAGTAGGAAATTTATTATTAATAAAATGTTATATACACATCTTTTATAATTTATTAACAGTAGTCTCATTACAGCAATATCAACTAGAATGTTTTGATGTTGAATTTCTATCACTGGTAAAAAAAAAAAAAAATTTAACAATAGTTAAACATTTGTTAAAGTGCACAATTTGATCAAAAGTTTGGCCTTTTTATTGACTAAAATTATGCATCTTAACAAACGTTTACTGTGAATCAAATTTGATTTTTTTGCCAGTGTATCTAATACAAATAATTTATATTTTCTAAATAATAACAATATTAATAAATAATAATAATAATGAATAGTAAATCAATTTAGTTGTATCTCACTTTTACTTTTCATTCTCTTGCGTTTAGTCCATAATGTGAATGCAGCTTTATTTCACCTACTGGAACAAGATTTATAACTAAAGTGGGACGTTTTGTCATTTTAAATTTAATTTGGCGAGACTTATTTATATACTTTCAAAATTACACATAATATGCGTGTATTTATAAATACTATGTATGACTACCCAGCAACACCGAGGATGCCATTTTTTGAATTAATAATTCAGATATATTTAGCAGGCATTATATTATTATAAATTTCATATAGCAGGCTTTAATGTTATCAAAAGTATAATAGAGTTAATAATAATAATTATTATTATTTGAGGAAATAGCTTTATAATTTCACATGAGTGTCAAATTCTGGTTCCATTGATGCGTTTCATACAGGTAAATAGATACATATGTCTTGAGGGATATGTATAGTTTAAATATTATTGGCAATAAGGAATTCATTATCCCAACATGTGGATCCTAAACTGTTAAACAACCCATTAAAGTATAATGTGACATTTTATTCCTGCTTTTTTCGCATTTGGAGTTATTTGCAAAAAAAATTTGATATATTCCAATAAAGAGGTTTCATAATTATGTGAACCTTCTAAGTCGGAACAAGATATTATCTTAATGGCAAAACAATATACAGGCATGTGTCTCGAAAAGAAATCTCGAATCAATAAAAGAATGTTCTACTACCAAGATCATAATATACCTCTTTGTCAAAAAACACCTGTACCATGGTATTTTAATTTCTCAACAAATATTGTTCCACAAAATAAATTAAAAAAATTTACTCTTTATTATTTCCTGAACATATAATTCATGGAACAAGCAATTCTTTAATCATGAATTTATTTGATTCATGACTGAATTATTTTTTTGCTGATTGAAAGTTCAATCGTATTTATAGACTTTCCCTAAACTACAACCAGGTTTTACTATCTTCTGCGCCAGTAAAGCACCAATAATTAATGAAATTGACAAATTAAATAAATAAATAAAATAATAAACAGGACCACAGTTTTGGTCTTCTTCTACCGGTAGATCACCTTTTATTTATTTTGAAATCATTCGATAGGCAATGATCATATGTGTCCATGGTAATACTAAAAGAATGCCTTAATGGAAAATCAAGATGACAATTGATAAAAATGTTACAGAGGTAGTTAAGAATTTTTCTTGAAAATCATGCTAAAGTTCGTAAATTACCAAGCCAAGTGAGAAATTTAAATCGATTAACTCAATCATTGCATTCTTACCAACAGAAATGTTATAAATCTGTCTGTTGAGACTTTCTCCAGAGATTCAAATCATGGGCCTAATTTAATGTTTACTCTTGGTTTTGGTTGCAGCATGCTATATATAATATATTTTAATCTAAAATCAAAGCTAAAAAATAATGATTCATAAAGAGACACAGGTAGCAACAATTCTGGCCTTCTAGTTTTGAAAAATACCTATTAAAACCAGATGATCAGGTATGGCTGATTGATTGATATTTTCAGGAAGAATTTGAGAAATGAAAACATTTGCGCTGTTCCAAGAGTGGCGCATTTTCTTAACAGGTTGCTCATTTACAAAGGTTTTAAAACTATAAATCACCTTGTATAAAAAAAAGTTTTATTCACGAAAAAATTATTCCTGAAGAGATTGCCAGTACAGAGCAAATAATTTCAGCACTAATCTTTATTTCTTCAACAGCTTTATCCATTAATCAATGAAAAATAAAAAAAAATAAATCAAGAGATAAATAATTACTGTTCCAAATATAATAAGTTTTTTGATATATGAGAATTTCTGAGGACGCCCATTAATAAATCTACGGATTAATTAATAACAATGGGAATGCTTTACACCAATAATAATTTATGAATTAACATCATCATTAATAATAATTCCTGTGGCGATGTATATTATATTACTAGAAGATCCAACAAATACAACAAATATTTAAGATTTTTCGAATTAGATTTGCTATGAAAGTTCCCGGAATCGAAATTTCAAATATATCTGGTGGCAATGTAATTATTGATGTTAATGGTAGTGATGGTGGAATTAACAGTGTTTATTGATACACACATTATATCCTTTTTTTTTTGCTCGCAATTACGTTATTAAGAATCGCTATTATGTAACTGGTTACTTAAAATCTTGACCCTGCGATTCTCTTGTGGCTTATGTTTATGAATAAGGAAACCTCGTATTAATGTATCAATTCATCAAGAAAATAAATCTCACATAAACCTACGTAGGTTTAAAATTGACCAGAATTATACGGGATTATTAACAGAATTACCAAAATCTTGACAAAATGCTGGCTAATTCTAAATCCTACGTAGTAGATTTACGTTTTCCTAATGTTAACATGATTGCGTATCAAAAAAAATTATTTCAAAAACGTTGACCTTAGCATTTTGTTAATTGAATTTAGTATCTATGTAGAAGGTGTATATAGTCAAAAAAAATCATTTTTTTGATATGAAATGTTGAAATTAAAGAAAAAAAATTTTTCTTCAAAATTTCAATTAATCTGTCGAATCATCACACGAGTGGGTTTATTGTTTGTAATAATTATTTTTGCTTGTATTATTGATATTTTGTTTATTGTTAGAATTATATACAAATGGGAAATTTTAAAGAGTTTAAAAATATTTGAGGAAACGTGTGCATCAAATTCAAAACTTGAAGCAAAAAGAAGCGTTTGTGATAATGAATTTTCGAAATTTTGGCAGTCTTGTTATAAAATGTGCGAACGCTACATGCGTAATAGTCAAAATTACAAAAACTTATGACGGACAATTTGAAAATAAAAGAAAGACAATGAATCTGAATAAAAGGTAAAAAAAAACTCAAATCTTCGGATGATGATATTGATATTGATATCGCACCAACAAAATCATCACCACCATCAGCTAATGATGTGTATCTGAAGCAGACAATATTTTGGATGTGTGAAGCCCTCAAGACCTCTGGTGTGAATTTTATTAAACAAACAATGATAGGAAAACTGGGAGACGAAACAAATTTGCAACTACAAATAAAAGTAAGCCAAGATGAAATTGATCAATTAAAAACCCTTGATGAATTCATTCCTGATAAAGTATCATATTTACATGATCATGTGATAAAAAATAGCAGCAGCCAGGAGATGTGGATTTTGATGATAAATTTATGAAGCCAGGTTACAATCATCCAATTTTTGATGAAGGGTTGGAAAATTACATAAAAAAATTTCTTGCTCAAGATATTTATATGATTGAGAAAACGAACGAATTACAAAAGGAAGAGGTGCCAAAGGCCAAGTAAAAGATAAGGTATCAATCAGACTTTAATGAACGAAGAAAAAATAAAAAGCAGAAATCAAAACAGCAATAACAAGTTGAAATAAGAATATTTAATGGAAAAACGTACGTAGTAATGCTACAATTCACCAATGGATTGGATAAATGAAAATATCGGTAACATGCCACAAACACAAACGTTTGTTACATCATCTAGTACTTCCTTTCAATCTTCCACTTATATTCACCCAAGAAAATCCAAAAAAAAATATTCAAATGAAGAGATTGGAATTTTTTTAAAACATCTTGTTAATTATAAAGATTCCCTACCATTAGATGTTAAAAAAATCTATAACTGAATGACTAAAATGCTATGATGATTAATGGACTGAGAATAATTCGCTTATCTTTTTTTTTCTGTATGTCGAATTATGACATTATTTTATTTCTTAATCCAATCTCTGATAAATAATGGTACAACTTCAATAATTATTATTAATAATAGTTTTTTTATATATCAAGAATATATATGGTAAATTATTATAATTATATAAAAACGTCGAAAAGGAGAAGTCCATCTACAAACATTTGCGGTATAATGTAAAAGCCGTAATGCTAATCAAGCTCTTCCTTTCAAATAAATCACAAAACCATCCTTTTAATTTTGACAATTTTAAAAAATCATTAATTCAAAGTTCAAATGTAGCTCTTCCTCTAACATTCATTAGAATTCATAACGAAGAAGAGTTCCAGCTTGCAATTTGTTTTTCATAACTCGGAGGATGTTTTTGTTACACATTAATATTAACAGTTAATATTGCAACTCATAAATTTGTATATATATACAGTATGAAAATTACATTCATTCATTTACAAATTGGGTATAGATTATCTGCCCTATTCAGGGTCTATTATTGACTTTTTTGTATTATAACAAAATACCGATACCGTTTTATATCAATACCGTTTTTAATTTTAATGAACGGTATTAATTCTAGACGGTAAATAATATATCGTTGTAATCAATCTTTTTTGAACTTCAATCGCCCACATACATTAAAATATGGTAAATAACAGAGTTGGCAAAAAAACATTTTCTTAATTTGGGATTTATTTGTATGAACGCGCGGCATAGAGTTGGGAAACTGGATAAACAAACAGTATTCGAGATTTGGTTGTGGAAATGAAATATTGATATTATTTATCCTTCCATATTTCCATATTGAACAAATTAAATAAAAATAATAAGAATATATGTTTTATTAATATTTTTTATTTTTATTTACTGATTTTCAAGAATAATAAATATATAAAATTATAAAAAACGAACCAAGTCCAAGTCCAAGTTCAAGTAAGTATTGAAATTGTTTGATATTTTCTAGTCTTTAGAGTCTTTATTTAAATTTTATAATGCAATCTGTGCCAACATGATTATGAGTATAAAACATTAATGGTTTACGAAGGCACGAAGCTCAAAAACATAAAGAATATGATAGTCCGCCCACCTGTCATTAGAAGTTCTTGAATTTTTGGGGTTGTTACCAAGGTTGGATGACGAAAATAAATGTGACGAGATAGGATTTCTATGAGAATTTGACAAAAATGACAAAAATGACGAAATCAACAAGAGTAAATTAAAAAAAAAATTTCATGATGTCAAATTCTAATTCACCAATTCCTTCTCAATTGTCATCATAAATCTACATGCCAACATCATCCCAATTTGCTAAAATTGCAATATCCTTAAAGAATGCCTTAGATTTTCATGTGGGCTCATTTAAAATATAGATGTGGGTTGTCGCATGCTTGCCATATATGTTTATATTTATCAGTACATAACCTTTTGCTGGCACCAATGGTCATTGAAATTTTTTAGTAAAATAACTATAATCAAGTTGATTTTCATAGGAGGGTTCCACATTTAGGAACCTTGCATTAATTGCAACCTTATTATATCAACCCATGAATATATCTAAACTTTTTTTCGTTCAATGATGCAGGTAATGAAGGTAATTTAATTATCTATTTGAACATAAAGATAAATAGCGACTGTATATGATGACTGTTATTGGATTTCCACTAATAATAATAATTATTGTGTAAATTTAATTAGCAAACTGTCTTACTGCTGTATATGGCAAACATTTTCTCACTTGCAAGAAATGCGAGAGTCCAAAGAATAATACGAGATGTGAATACAGTGTATGTGTTCTTCAAGTGTTCATACATATTGCAATGATTCCTTTTAACAACATGATAATAAAACAGCATACGTAGATATGTTTCTTTGATTCTGTTTTCTTTTGTAGGATCTGTTTTTTTTTTTAACAATAAAAATAAAGATCCTTTTTGGAGGATTAATATATAGCACGAAAAATTCTCTGAATTGAAATATTCATTAACTGTGAGTTTTAGATCCAACCAATTCTGTCATGTGCTGTGCCGAACGAGTTGTGAATCCTTCTCTGTGTGATTGCCTTTGGTTCCTTTTGTAAATATTTGAAATTCTTTTTTCACATTAACATATTGGTATTCGGGACTTTTTGATAATTGTAAAGAAATTACTTGATAATTGCCCGTTCAGATATCACATTTCGTATAGTATAGATCTATGTCTATTAAAGCCTCATTAAAGAAGAAACTTTATGATTCAACAATTGTATATTAATTGTCTGCCTCTTGAGTGAAAACACACATATATTTTGCAAGAGCGTTAAAAACGAACGTTTCATAAAAGTGAATGATTAAAGTTACTGTTTAAGGTGTTTGAAGAAGCAATGTTTCTATTACTATTATAACCCTTTTTCAATTTTTCTATTACCATCTTACATAAATATCAAAATGATGGTTTTTTGGATGAAACATGTTCTTTGACATCTTCAAAGGTTCTTAGAGCAAGAAGTTTGTTTAATAATAATCAAATTAAAAGAAGAAAAAAACAATAATCAAAAGGATTGAATGATTTTTATTTGAATTTCGGATTTCACCAGGGATATTTTTGATTTCAAAACTTGAATTTTAAGCTATAAGCAAAAAAATTATTTATTATTATCATTATTACGAATTTCGATTTCGATTTCGAAAGATTTTAATTTTATTACATCATGTATGATTCATACAAGTTACTATGCATAGTAATCGTGGGGACACACACCTGGGGTATATACCCATTATTTTATACTACAGTGCATACCATTACTAGGAGACAGTCGATCAGGGGCCCGTAATTGCTAATTCATTAGCAGCCATTCAGAGGATCCAGCTTGTTAAAGTTTTTCCTTGTTTAACCTTTTTTGTCAACAAGAAAATGGCACTTTCAAGGTGTGAATGAATGGATAATTCTATTAAATCTGACACCGAGTTCAATATTTTGCATTTTTATTTTACCAGAAATAATTTTTAAGGTACTCTATAAACTTGAAACCGGAAGGGAAAACTATATTAACATTTCTATGGACCACAGAAACTCGCCATTTCTGGACGGTCTTTTTATTATTTATTTATTTATTAAATAAAAAGAGCAAGTAGAAAAGAATGGAAATTTATGTTTTTCTTTAAGAAATGTGTATGTCCTTTGCTGACTAAGGTTTTTTCGAAATTTGCTTTATAGTAATAGCAATTGTCCTTTTTATTACCAGGTATATTCTTTTCTCAATTATACCAAGATTTTGTTTATTGTTGTGAAATGTCATGCAATTAATGTGAATTTGTTTGTTACCTCAAATACATGCCATGCTTCAATTGTTTTGGTGTCGTTTTCCGATTGGAAATCGATAATTATTGTTTATAAAAGATACAAAAACTTATTATTTTTTCTCGATCCAAAAAAGTTGTACAAGAGTTTTATTATTATAATATAAACATATTGTGTATATATATATGTAAAGAATTAAACAATTTTTTTTTCAAGACACCAAAAATAAAATAAAAAATATTAATCTATAATAATAATGTCTACAGTTGTATCAAAATCAGTTCTTGAAGTTCTTTCACTTACACCAGATGAGTATAGAAAAAGAAAAGTTGCTCTTTTGACCGGTAATTAATTAAATTGATAATTGGAATAATAACAATTGGAATAATAATTGAGAAAATTAATCAATTAAACAAAAAATTAATTTTAGGTATTACTGGTCAAGATGGTTCTTATCTTACTGAATTCCTCTTAGACAAAGGTTACATTGTCCATGGTATTATTCGTCGTTCTTCATCATTCAATACTGGTAGACTTGAACATTTATACAAAGATCAACATGAACGTAAGTGTTAAATAAAAATCTTTTTGATAAAAAAAAAAAATATATATATATGCAAACCAAGTTAATGATTAATGATCCCCCCAAAATGTATCTAGGTCCAAAAATGGTTCTTCATTATGGAGACTTGACAGATTCAACTAATCTTGTTCATATTGTTTCACAAGTACTTCCAACTGAAATTTATAATCTTGGAGCTCAATCTCATGTCAAAGTTTCTTTTGATATGGCTGAATATACTGTGAGTTCATAGAAAAAATTAAATATTATATATATATATATATATAATTGATTTTGTTAATTGATGATTATATTTTAAATTGATTATTTTTTAGGGTGATGTTGATGCTTTAGGAACTTTACGTTTATTAGATGCCATAAGGACTGTTGGTTTAACAAATCATGTTAGGTTTTATCAGGTAACGATTATTTCCATATACACACACAGCCTCATTTATACAAACAATTAATAAATCAATGCCCATCTCCCTCTCTTTCTCTATCTATTCATCTACCTATCTACCTCGTTACGTGTTTATAGGCATCCACATCTGAACTTTATGGTAAAGTTGTGGAAACTCCACAGTCAGAAACCACACCATTTTATCCTCGTTCACCCTATGGTGTAGCTAAACTTTATGCCTATTGGATTGTTGTCAATTACCGCGAAGCATACAATATGTTTGCTTGCAATGGTGTTTTGTTCAATCACGAATCTCCACGTAGAGGTCGTACTTTTGTAACTCGTAAAATTTCTAGAGCCGTAGCTGAAATTCACTTAAATAGACAAAGCTGCCTATATCTTGGTAACATTGATTCTAAGCGTGATTGGGGTCATGCAAGAGATTATATTGGTTAGGACATATTACATTTATTACATTTATTTATTATCTATGATATATTTACATGATGCATGATAATTTATAACACAAAAAATTATTATTTATTTCCTTCTTTCAAAAAATCAGAGGGGATGTGGTTGATGTTACAACAAGATCAGCCAGATGATTTTGTTTTAGCCACAGGTGAAACTCACACTGTCCAAGAATTTGTTGAAAAAGCATTTGCTGTAATTAATAAAACCATTGTTTGGAAAGGCGAAGGTTCAATTAGTAAATCTAACTTTGGCATTTCATAAAACCCTGTCCATATTCTATTGGTTGGCGGAGGTTTGATTCTTAATAATAACCTTCCCTGTAAACCTCTTAAAACTACAGCAAGCACAACAGGTAATTTGATGGTTTTTAACTTTGTAACTGCAATTATTGCTTCGGTTTCAATTTCTACACGAAATCCGCCATTATAATCAAGATCCACATCGACACTTAAACCACCGTTTATATCCAACTTGGCTAATCTGGGATTGGTCAAATATGGCACACCGTCTCCAACTTCCACCGATTTGATATGAATATCGCTTAAAAAACTCGGTTTTTTTATCTTTTTAACCTTTCTGATCAATTTTCGAACAAAGTGATCTTTGACAGCTTGAGTTTTGTACACCGAAAGGAATACGCGTCCTAAAATAGCATTCAACCATTGTGTTTCAATATGTTCATCATTTGAATATAAAGTTTTCAAAAGATGATTCATTGAAAATTGATCAAATTGTGCTTTATCCCTTACAACTTGTGGTTGAGGTCCAGGTGAATTTGACTCAAGTTTTGATGATTTTTGCAAAACAAAATACCAATCTTCTTTTTCCACTGCCACATTACAAAATAAATAATAAGTAGTATCATCTATGTCAATTTTCATATCATCATAAACTGATTGTTTTGTTTTTAATCTTATCGAAGTTGCTTTTGAAAAAATCTCATTATCTGGTAAATTTTCTGGATATATTGATACGTTATGATTTGATATAATTATTATACCCTTGCAATCTAATTGTCTTTCGCTATCATACATAAAAAGAGTGTTATACTTTAGCACTGCAAAATATGAATCTTTTGAACGCTTTAATTGTGAATTTTTTCCTTCCATAAACGATTGTATTCCTTGTTTCATCATGTTACCAAATGTTGGACCGTTTGTTGTTGAGTTCATCTCGAATTCTTTAGTTACTCTTAACCACCCAAACTTGTGAAAACAAGTATCATCTTTTATTATATTATTGTTGTTACTATGATTACTATTGTCATTGTTATTGTTTGCTTTTTCAATTTTTAACGAATCTTTGAAATCGTTAGGCACATTATCAATTTTTTTTAGTGACCATGTCCAAGGTCGAAATACTATTAAAAATATTATAAATGCTAGAACTGGGAGAAAAGTAACGCCACCAAATAAATATATTAACAAAATTGTTCCAATCGATGTCAACAATGACATCACTCAGGTCAAGACAATAGTCTATTTTATTAATTCAAAAAAATATAAATAGGACGGCTGTCCCCACATTTTTGTATTGTTTTTTTTGTAGAGAAATTCTTCTCAGCATTGAAACTCAACTTTCTACAACATCCCTGTTCATCTTCAAGCAATCAAGTTTACAGATGGTGAGCACCATGAAATCATTTATCATTATACAACATTATACAAGATGGTCAAAAATAAATATACCACTGCGCCGAGTGTTCCATAGCATTATAATAATAAAAAAATACATGATTCAATCATTTACATATAACAGGAGAGACAAAATTTTAACCCACGCAATTGTTGATCGACCAATCAAAATCGTGAATTTGATAACATAAAAATAAACGTTAATATAAAATATTGATTCAACTTGTCAACAATCACTTCACCAACAGTTGTTTCGTTAACAAATGGTTCGAATTTAAAGAAGTTGGAAGTAACCATTTGAAATAGTCTAGTAAATTAAATTGTACTACTCGAAAATGTATTTAAAGGGTTGGTTTTCAACTTGGTTGAAGAATAACTCTCTTCCTAACTCTTCTCTTGACCATATCTCTCAACATAATCAAAATAACCCTAATATAACGAATGTTGAAATGATTGCAAATGCGACCAATTTAAGATATACGATCAAGACAAAACATGAACGATGTATGAAAAAATCAAACAAATTTATTTAATAAAACAAAATTTACAACTCAAAAAAATTTTTTTTTGCATATAATAAAATTCCATTATTAACTATTAACAATCTAATTATATAGAGACATATTCTGCGAGCTCAAAACATTTTTCAGAATTAAAAATTCTCGTCTGTATGATGAGTTATAACAGTTTTTATGAAAAGCGATTTTCTTTAATAATTTAAATATAAATTAAAATGGGTTTTTAACAGTCGGGAACTTAAAACGTTTATAAATTTGGAAGCAAAATAGCTACAAAAAAAATTGAAAGTGTTTTTAATCTCTAAGAACCTTATCTACAACGTAACAATGCTATTTTTTTTTGTTTAAATATAATTATGATGAGTTAGAACAGTTTATGCAAAGGCAATTTTCTTATATTAACAATCAAAATCTTAAAACGTTTATAGCTTTGGAAGCAAAATAGCTAGAAAAAAATTTTGAAGTGTTTTTAATTGTTAAGAACCTTATCTATAACGTAACAACGCCATTTTTTTTGTTTATTATGATTTTTAAATTTTGCATTAGTAGAAATCTAGAATTTATGACAAAAATTGCTTTTTCAATATGAAGGTACATTAATATTGATAAATATGGCTCTGTTACATTGTAGATGCATACTTTGCAAGCTCAAACCATTTTTCAGAATTAAAAAATCTCATCTGTATGGTGAATTATAACAGTTTACGTTTCTTTAATTAATTAATAGTAATTTGAGTTTATGAAAATGATTGACAAAAAATCTCTACTATTAGGTTTTATTATTTGGTTTCCCCTATGTTTGTGATTATACTTATATCTAACACCCCAATGAACGATGTATGAAAAATCAACAATTGTTTCGTTAACAAATGGTTCGAATTTAAGAAGTTGGAAGCAACCATTTGAAATAGTCTAATAAATTAAATCGTACTACTTGAAAATGCATTTAAAGGGTTAGTTTTCGACTTGGTTGAAGAATAACTCTTCCTAACTCTTCTCTTGACCGTATCTCTCGATATAACCAAAATAACCTTAATATAACGAATGTCAAAATGATTGTAAGATATACGATCAAGAGAAAACATGAACGATGTATGAAAAAATCAAACAAATTTATTTAATAAAACAAAATTTACAACTCAAAAAAAATTTTTATTACATATAATAAAGTTCCATTATTAACTATTAGCAATCTAATTATATAGATCTTGTCCGATCAAACCCGCCTATATAGTTATTGAATAATTGATAATATAAATAAAACGTTAATTAAACATATTTTACAAACAGCCTCGTAGATCTCGACTTTAAGTCTTACTTTGATCAAATCTGCCCATAATAACAAAAGTTCATTTTGGAAACTTGATTTGCAAATAGATCTTGACTTTAACACTTACTTCTACCAAGCCCGCCTATATAATTAT